TGAAATCCAAGACTACAGATTTTCCTCCTTCACTTTAAAACGGTGAGGATGATTTGTGGAGCATATGCAGTGCACTAAATCAGTTTGCAGACGAAAGTCTGAACTACGAGAGGCCCCACTTTATTGACGGCTTTTGGGACGAAGGCGACTAGAAGATGACCTAATAACAGCGTGTAACATAGTAAACGCTCCAGGTCACTCGCTTTTATGGTTTGCTTAAGACGGGCTCTAATGTTATCGATAGCACTTAGGAATTGTAAATTGAACGCGACTAATCCACAACTATTTCTTGCTTTTGCAAACAAATTATGGGTACCCCAAAAGATTCATTCATTCTTACATTCTGCTGACCTGCGGGTTTGGAGTGAAATACAGGAGCCGACAAATACCTTAGTCCTTCAAGAACATCCTTCTAAAGTCGTAAGTAGGACGAACAAAAACTCGCTGCCTCTGAGCACGGAAAGGTATAGGATGGTGGTTGGTGGCAGACACAGGAGCAGTTCCAGTTCTTACTCTGAAAGGTAAACAAATGTCTTTCACTTAAACGCCTTTCGAGATCTAGGGGTTACTCTGAATGACAAAAATTAGGCGCATGACCATCACTGCCTTGCAGCCGATACGGTATTTGGAGTCCAGGAGTTGCCCCTTTGAATTTCGAAAGTCACACGCTAGCCCTTTTCACTGCAGTGTACGGGCTACATTTTCGTCGAAATCCAGGGAAAACTTGTCAGTTATACCTCCACACTTGGAGAAGGATGCTATCATCTCATGAAGTGTTCTCATAGGAACTACCGAAACAGTGGTTGAGCTACCCTAAAGGCCTTTCTTGGATCGTTTAGCTAGTCTTCAGGTGCAACTGGCACACTGTGAGAAGAAAACCAGAGGTCTGGTTATGTTGATTCATATCGCTAATAATTTTATTCCTCCTTAAGGACTGACCTTAGACTTCAGTTAGAAACCCTACCCTAGAGACAATCCTTTAAGAATACAACGTACCAGTGCATAGGAGAAGAATATCGATAACTAGCTCAAGGTTATGATATGCCACTCCGTTACTAGAGTTGTTAGCTAATCTACTTCTGATGCTTTCAAAAGGGGTTGGACGCACGCTTGGAAACTGCGGTACAGGTGGGCTGCATTCAAGCGGCCTTCTGCCATCTCGAAGAACATGGGTAGAATCACTGCCTCCGATGATGATGATGATCAGTTGATCATTTACTACCTTAGTCTCCTAATGTTTCCCAGAACAAGGAAAACAACTGCTACTGCTCTTAAAAGTAACGTATTCTGTTAGGATATACGTAAAGCCGAGGGAACCATTGCCAGCTATTCCCACAACGCGAAGTTTAAAGCATATCAGAGAGTAGTTACAGTTTGGATTGTTGTCCCGGTGTATGACGGTAAATTGCATCGTCATAGTCTTTCAAGCATAAATTCGTCGTCATCCGACAGTGACTTATGGTGCAAATATGAGGGAACTAATGGCGACTAAAAACCCTGCCTGGTTTACCAGTTCATTAGTTACTAGCCGGTCCTAAGCCCAAACAAAGAGGGAAGGTTGGGCATAGAGCTAGCAACCCTACCCCGGAAAACGAATCAAACCGCCAGAGAAACTTCAAAGTGCAAACAAAATACAAAAATAAAACCGAAATTACTCCTAGCTGGAATCGGAGAGGTGAAATGACGCCAGTTGGTGAAAGCCTTCGGGAAAACAGTTGGCCGATGTATCACCCCTCTCTCGATGAAAGCGAAAGTGAACGTGGGGGCATGGAATGTCCGCACTATGTTTGAACCTAGCAAGGCTGCCAAGATTGAAAAGAAAATGAGAAGGTGTGGTACTGAAGTGCTAGGAATCTGCGAGAGCAGATGGAATGGAAGTGGACTCCCCAAACTGTCAACTGGAGAATCAACAATCTACTCCGGTGACCCAGACGACAACCACTAGTACATGAAGGGAGTGGCCATCACGGTGTCCCTAACAGCATTGGGGGCCCTCTGTCATGTAGTGGGAACCAATCCCCTCGTGCAGGATCAGGATCATGACAGCAAGATGAATTTAACTCAAAAGGAAGTGAAGTCACAATTGAACAATGCTCTTCGTGTACCTAAAAATAACGCAGATGAAGAGAAGAAGGAGAAATTCTACAGACAGTTGCAATCAGTACTGGACAAGACCGCAGTTGACGACATCAAAATTCTAGTGTATGTGGTGACATGAATGCCAAACTGGGAGCGGATAACACAGGAAGAGAACTAACCATGGACCGAGAAGCACTCGGTGAAATAAACGAGAATGGAGAACTGTTTGCAGAATTCTGTGCATTCAACGATTTGGTGATTGGAGGCACTGTGTTCAATCAACAAGATATCCACAAAGCGACATGGATTCCATTTCACCAGACACCAACACGCACTAAAAATCTGATAGACTTCATCTCAATGTGAAGAAAGTGGAGACGCAGCCTACTGGACACAAGGTCGAGGAGAGGAGCAGATGTAGCCTCAGACCACTCACTATCTAGTGCAAGGAATCTTCCAAATCGAATTGGAAACCTTCAAGGAAGTTGATGATAGACCTCAGTTCATATCCAACACCCAGAAACTGAAAGGCGAAACTCAAAAGAAAATCTTCACGGCAGCCATCAAGACAAAATGGGAGACATTGAACAACATCCCTGAAGAAACCCGCATGGATGAGCACTGGAACTCTTTGAAAGCTATGTGGAAATAACCCTGCACAACCGTGTTAGGGAGGAAGGTGAAAGAAAATAAGGAATGGATCTCGATGGACACATGGAAGCTTATAGGGATAGGAGGACTGTGAAGCAGAAGATAAACCATTGCAAGGATGAACGACTAGAAGAAGAACTGAATACAATGTATAAAACGATGGACAAATAAGTCAGGAAGAGTGCGCGGAAAGACAAAAGACACTTCTACGAAACACTGGCACGTGAAGCAGAACAGGCTGGTGGTAGGAGGGACGGAGACCTGGCAACATTGTATCAAATGACCAGGTTACTATCTGGTATGGAAGAGATCAACACAGATGTAACGAATAAATGGTGAAGGAAATCTAATTACCAAAGAAGAGAAACAAAGGAAACTATCGGCTGACCACTTCAAAAAGCTCTTGAATCGACCACCACCTGCAGCCCTGTGACAGAACTACATGTGAACACAAACCCTTCGACGAAAGTTGAAGTCCTGGGCTCTGTAAAGCTACTGAAGTGCGAGAAAGCAGCAGGACCAGATGGAATCCCGCCAGAAGCGCTGATAGTAGACACAGAGACAACGGTGGACATGCTCACACCACTGCTGCAGAAGGTCCGGAAGGAAAGGAAGGTGCCTGCAGATTGGGAGAGGGGTTACCTTGTCAAACTGCTGAAGAAGGGCGATCTAAGTCTTTGCAAGAAATGACGCGGAATCACGCTCCTGTCCACCCCAAGCAAAATATTATGCCGCATCATCATGGAGAGACTAAGGGATGCGCTGGATTTAAAACCACGACCCAAACGGACTGGCTGGATTCAGGAAGTACAAGTCATGTGCGGACCAAATTACAACGCTACACTACGCATCATCATAGAACAGATCATAGAATGGCAGTCAGCCCTCTACCTTACCTCAACTCCATCGTTTATCAGTCGCATTCAACAACAAGATGCCACATGCCAAGTAATTCACAGTGGGAAGCTCAGTGAAGACGGGGGCAAAACAAGGCTGTCCACTATCACCCATGATCTTCCTGATTGCAGTGGACTAGATCATGCAACAGACCGTGAGGAGCGAGAAGAGGGGTATACGCTAGCTGGACTGCGGAAAAGAACCTAGAAGATTTAGATTTCGCCAAAGACCTGTGTCTGAAGTCACACATACTTGAAGATCTACGGGCGAAAACTAACAAGTTGACAGAAGGGGCAGCAAAGAAGAGGCGAAGAAGGGACTTCAAATGAACGTAGAGAAAACAGAGGTGATGAAGAAACCCAACCAACAACAGCAGGCTCCAATCACCATCAACGGGAGGAACCTAAAGGAAGTAGCCTCTTTCACTTATCTAGGCAGCACTGTTTCAACTACGGGTGACACAGACGAGGGTGTCAAAGTCAGGATGGAAAAGCAAGTCTGGCGTTCATTAGCCTGAAATCAGTGTGGAGATCTTCTGCACTATGCATGTGGAACAAGATCCGGATTTTCAACACCAACGTCAAGTCACTGCTTATGTATGGCTCAGAGACTTGACGGGTTACGAAAGGCATTTCCAACAAATTACAGACATTCATCAACAACTGCCTACGCTGGCTCGATACTAAAGATCAGATCAGATGGCCAGAAAGAATAAGCAACAAGGAACTCTGGGAACGAATCAACCAAGAACCCATCGTTCAACAAATGTGCAGAAGGAAGTGGAAAGGGATTGGGTATACACCGAGAAGGCCAACTAGGAACATCACGCTTCAGGCCAGGTGCTTGAGTGGAACCCAGATGGGAAGCGGCGAGTCGGGTGTCCGGCGGTGTAATGGAGGGGATCATGCGAGGAAGAAATAAGAGCTTGTGGTCAGTCGTGGAGCCAGGTTCAAAAGACTTAAGAGAACAGAGTGCACTGGAGACGTGCCACTGAAGCCCTATGTTTCACTAGGAACTCAAGGGATAAATAATAATAGTAATGACAATAATAATATCCTCTCTTTCATTTATTCACTCTTTGTTTTTACGTACAGGTTTTCAGACTGAGGAACTAGTGGTCCACTGATTCTGAAAGCCAAAGTCAATTCAGTGAAAGTTCCTACCATTCTATCGCCAAATGATCGAAGCCATTTGAAGCAATTATTGAAATAAGGTGTCGTCTGCAGGGATCATCCATACATTCACAAGCTCTCTTCACACATCTCAGTGAGAGAGGGGAAATTCAAAGAAATTAGCAGGAAAAAGAATAACATGGGCCTAAGAAGCTTTATCTTAATAGGATATGAAACGTTTGTTGTAGTTTATCAACTTGTTGACCTTGTACGTCGATGCACAGTTTTAAGCTTTAATGATGCCGAAGGCTAGGTTCTTCAAACCAAGGCGTTGTGATATTATTAGTGAGATTTCAAGCCCACAAATGTTGTCAAACATGTTCATGTTACTTACGATCAAGAAACAGGGCAGTTTCATGGGATACCTGATTACTGGAAAGAGATGATAGAGAATTCAAACTTTTCAGTAGAAGATAGGAAGAATAATGCGGATAAAATCCTAAATGCTGTAACTGCCTTCAAGGAATCTCAGAGAACAAAATATCTGGGTTTTGAGGGCTTAGAGAGTGTTGACGAAGGTCTGTATAGATTTCCTGTCTGACTAATTCTCTTCAGATGATGAGTTAGAAAAGAAAATGAGGTTGTTTATTCTTAATTCAAAAGAGGAAGACAAACCAGATACTAAGCTTCTCACACCAGCGATACAGAAGGAGAAGGTCCCAAGTCCTGTCATGATTGATAGGAATGGTGCTCGTACACCTCCGGTACCTCCACCAAAACCGTCCGTCAGTGATGCTAATAAAGTTTGTGGTTTCAGTTTTAATACCTATCATATCGTAGCAAGCAGTTCCACTTCTCCGAAAGCGTATACGCAGGAAGCTGACTGATGAGGAGTTTTACAAAGAACTAGGTAGGTCAGTTATAAATACTACATTTCTATCGTTATTAATCTGCCAAACTCTTGAGTTTGATTTCACTTATTATCTCATCATCGTGTGCATACTATTGTTGCAGGTTTAATTATGACCAAAACGACCTGCTTACGTATTGCTTCCTCATTTTTTTTGTAGAGTCGGTAATAACGCCGGGAAATCCTCGTGATGTCTACTCTGTTGAAAGTGAACTTGGGACAGGGTATGTCTATACTTCATATTTGAGTCTTTGTATTTTACTTCTTGTTTGCTGTTGCCAACACTCAAAATCTACTGTATAGTAGTTTTCTCTTACTGGTGTTATAAGAAATTCCCTGAACAAAGATTTTTGGTTGTCAGAGTGGATCTGTTTCTGTTTCTTACACCTTTCTGTGCCTTCAAAACACTGCAATGTACTTATCTTACCAAAATCTACGTAATGTGACGGTTAATCAGTAAGAAATTGTTCCTCTCGTCCACCGTGGGGTATTTTGCTTGTTTTTGTTACTAGAAGATCGTGATTTCTCCCCATCACTTAGCACTTGAGGCGAAACTTTTTGAAAACTTATTCTAAGAGCTGTTGGGACTCAGTGTTACACTGCTGACTAAATAGGGCGACTAAATAGGGTGTTATGCTTGTAGACCAAACATATTCCTAATGGTTAAACAAATAAAATAGCTATCCACTCACACGACGAAACCTTACGAAGTGAGTTTATATTACAGCACTTATGCACATATAGCATCTCCGAGTGACTTCATTTATTTACTTTCAAGCTGGTTTATGTGGCTTTTGGTATATTGAGCAACCAGGTGGTATCACTAACCCTCACACTCGGTGTGGCTCATTGTCTATTGCACGGATGTGCACAAGGTAGCTGAATGCATAGTCCTAGTTGTTACATTTCAGTGCTTTCCTGGTGAGTGTGTATTGTATGTCATATGAGAATATTCTGCCTTATTATTTCTTCTGTTTGTCTTTGTTGGTGTCCTACTTTTCGACAGTCCTTCTGGAACATTTGGAAATCCACTTGTTAGCACAGGTTTGCGTGATCGTGACAAGCAATGTAGTTGGGATTTACAATCTAGCTTTGTTGTAGATCTGTTTTCCAAAGCTGTTATGATTGACATCTGAATACCTTTGCTTGCAGTGACTCGAAAAAGAGCAGCTTTCCGAGCATAGATTCAAAAATGAAGTCATGTTTTATCTTCCCAGCATGAATCACTGCGAATGCTCTCAACTCATGGTCATAAATTATTTGTATTTGTCTCTAGCTTAAAGAATAAAGTGATCGGATTTATCGTTCGAATAATTTGTCTGTGATGTATTCGTCTTATTTATCTAACTACATGTTAGAAAGAAACTCCTTGGTTTTTACTAAGGTTTATTGAAGTAATCGATAAAACACCCAGTTGAGATGAGTGAAAAATCCATCTTGTCAAATTTAAACTAAACTTCTTCTAAGAACAATTTCTGGTTCGTTTATCTTTTTGAGTTTGTGATGAACTCTTTTGAAATATTGGCAAGTGTCTTCCTGATTTTAAGTACGCAACCGGTCTACATAGCTGTCTCAACTTACACCCATGTTAATGTGATGGTTATTTTGACCTAAAGTAATCACTCGTCCAAGGTCTACTGGCTGTAGCGGTTTTTTTCTATGTTTTGTCTCACTATAGTGGCTTGCTGGATCATAGTAAGTGCGAAAGCATCGTTGTATGAGTAAAATACGTCGTAATAGTGCCTTTTTAAAGCCGTACTGCTGACTGAATAGTGGTACCACGAGGATAGTGTTCTCATCATGTGACCATCATATTAACCGTTGGTTTCTGGAAAAGAAGGCTTTGTAAGTTTAATTCGATAGGCTGCGTATTCTTCATGTTCTGCAACTTCCTGTTGTCAGTGGTAAAGTTCCTTAAAAAGCAAACAACTTTGCTTGACATTTTTAAAAAAGCCATGCTTCATTTTTTAATCTAAAGCAGATGTCCCTCGTGCTGTGTGACCACGGAAAACTAGTTTACTTTTTACTCCAGGTACTTCAAGAGAAATCATATTTCCTTTTTATGGTTAATTGAGAAGCATCAACCGTTCGCACATCGTTAGTAACACTCGATTTGTTTATGATCATCAAAATTGTTCCTTACGTTAATATTTAACCTTTTGTTGCTGGTAACTCTGCACAGTATTCAACCTCTTCCGCCTGTGCAACAGATACAAAATATTTCTGGTTACGTTTTTCAGTACTGAAACTATTCATTGAAGGTTTCAATCTCCATATATTATTTCAAGTTGAACAACATGTCTCCCTAGGAAACACTTAAGAGTCCCATACCGTAGATGGTTGATGTTTTTCCTTCCTGAAACACAAGAAACAAAGTTGGTCATTCATCTAACTACTGTGATAAAGTCAACACAGGATCTGACATTGCGGCGTAACAGTCTAAGCTGCTACACATGTGAACACATCAAGCGAAATTGCACTCAGATGAGAGATAAAGGAGAAAGCAGTTAAGAGTGGTAGAAAGTCATCAAAAGAAAACAAGAAAAAGAGAAACATTAGTGAGATTCAGTTTGACGATTAAGATGATAATTTTTGGACACACGCGCGACTGAGATGGATTCTGAGCTACGTCAATTAGCTTCCAACCACTGGGTTCTGCTATCACGCGACCGGAAAGTACACTTCTGAGTTGGGGTCTTGTGATGAGTCTGTGCTGTTTGCTTTTCGGACGTCTGTTGACTTTACAACCAGTTTTGATGGCCTTGCGTATTAAGTTATGACACTAATCTCTAGACTAAAAATACACCTATTGATTAGTTCCTATTTATCAGTTACTTCTGTGCTCTATAACTGAATGATACATTAAGAAATAAGGATTGGGATACATGCAGATGCTTATTTATAGTTCCTAAGTGCACCCCGCTAACTTAGGTTCGGACAACGCTAACTTCTTGCAAATCATCAAACGTGCAGGTATGGTCTTATTAGTGAATTGCTCAGTGGGTCAACCAGGTAGGAACGCACCTTAGTAGTACTCCTGAAGTTCCAGTTTTAAAAAACAATAATGGTGGCCACTTAGGACAACCACATTCGAGAAGCCACCTACTCCTAATGAAGCACCAAGTGCAAGCACTCACAGACATTGTACGACATGGTAGTTCTCAGCAATAGACCCAGATATATCATATCCCCATCTTTTATCTCTGAAAAAGATTAGTCGAAGGTCACTTCCCCTTTTGCAGCATGTTCCTCAACAAAAGCAGACTGTCATCTGGACTACGCAGCTGTTCATAAAACAATAAATGCAGGAAAATTACCGTCAAAAGACATTTTTTAGCTCATTTAAAATGCCATATGTTTTCATCTAGGCTGGCTAAATGTTAGTAGAACACGATTATGTCATTCATTTTAAGGCAGTTCGGTACCATCTCCAACCTGCCTTACCAACAGGGGTTGAGACTGAGTGACCTTCATATCAGGCTTAGGAAAGGCTAATACGTCATATCCGGTATGTCGAAATTTCTGGATTCATGAGGGAATAATTCATCAAATTCCAAAAGGGATAATGAACGAAAGCAGCGTAAATGTAGACTGAAAATGCAATGTATAAAATGTTATTGATCATGAAGACTATGTTTACTAAAGATGTCGGTGGTCTACTCACAAAATAATCAACGAATCAGTTTCAGGAACAGTCAAGCCGGCCTACCGCAACTGATTAACTGCTTACTATTCATCTATGGAGTAGATGATACACACTAGGTGTCCAATTTTTGCCAAAGTTGAAGAGGATTTGTCTTATTTGGAACGGAAAAAGATGATAGGTCTTGAGAAGCTACCCAAATTATTTAAACTTGACTATCCACGACTACCAATCAGCTGATTATGTTATTGCCTGGTGTGTAGCAATCATACGTTATTCCCTGTGGTCAATTTCCTTCATCGGTTATCACTGTGAAGATCGTACATAACGTAATTGTTAAAACCTTAACTGACGCTGCGTTGCAGCACAACTAAGAGAACCGTATGGATTGAAACCGCGGTCTCGGATACAGTGACTGGATATTCATCCTTCCCTAGGTCTTTTCGCACAGATACTGATGTCTGACGCTAGTCCTGGCCGACAACCCAACTTAGAGCTATTGCATTGACACGGTTGTCGGGCTTGTATATCACAATTTCCCAACGAGCTACAGTGGCTGGAACGCTTGTTCCATCAAGGTGCTACCATAACAGAAAGGTCTGTTGGATACTAGTGAGACGAAAAGCAGTTACCGCTGTAGTGTAAACTGTCACACCATGATACGGGGCCGACAGTAAAGTTGTAATGCTAACTGGCTGGGGTGTGACAACAGTAAGGTGTTTCTCCCAGATAACCAGCAGTGCCACCCTGACGCTGCCTTCCCTATGGGAAGAGGGGGTTTAGAAAAGGTCAGCCGCAAAAGCGGCGCACTCTTTCCTGCCTCATGGTATTCTGGTGCCGGCGGTAAGGCATACAGGCACATCAGTTCAAGCTGCCACACTTCACAGTAGTACACAAAGAACAGGTAGACAGAGTAAAAATGATATCAAAGTAGGCAAAATTGTGTGGCAGAATAAACAGTTTGAAGACAACTGTTAGTGAAAATATTCAAACATTGGAAGACGTCAAAAAGTAAATACATTTACTCCATTGTGACCTGTTTTCAGCCACGTCACCAGGAGTCTTCAAACACTGCTTCCTTTCGTGTTGGGGACCCCAGTCAGGCGGTCTGCATCACCCCACAAGGCTCAAGCCATAAGTTAGAGAAACCTCTTCCAATCTAATCCATCTTCTCTTAGCATGGCACGTGGAGGTAGGCAGTGGTTCAATATGTGCAGTTCATATCCAAGCTATCCAAGGTTTCACAACCTCATCGGTCGACTTGTCTATCTTGCATGGTACTTTTCGCCTGACTTCGACATCGCTCACACAGTGATTCCACTAAAAGTGAGCAACGCTACGAAGACACCTGTGATCATAACCTATAACCACTTCTTGTCTTCATGTCTCACAGCTATATAAGGGGACGTAACAATCTGGAGCACAATATACTCGTCTTTTTATAGGTAGTAGGATATTTCGTCAGTCAGCATCACAGGTAACACAAGTAGGCAAGTACCAAATGGATCTTCTGCACTGAAGCTGAGATTTCGTCAGCAACCAGCCCGTTCGGGCCGATGCAACTCTTCAAGTAAGCGAAGT